GCATTCATTCATTCTTCCATGTGCCTACTCAGGAAACATTAAGAACCTGCTGCGTGAAGTTAGTTGTCAAGCCGGCCACGGGTCTTCTCTTTTTAGACATAGTCAATGAATCCCCCAGGGAGCAGTGCAGGGGCAAAGCCTCGTGGAAGCCCGCCCTCCCCGGCGCTCCACTGGGCTCTGGGCCCCATCCTCCCCTCCTCACCTCTGCCTTTTCCTCACCCACCCTCTTCTCTCCTCCGAGCCCCCAGGCCTGCCCCACTTGGAGGGAGGTGCTTTGGGGAATGTTGCCCACACCTGGGTGTCAAAAGCCGATGTCCACCTCTCCACAAGTCCCACATGTCCTCATATCCATAAGTGGCCAGTAGAAAACTTGGACACCAGAAGCCCTAATATCTTGGTCCTTTCAAGCTGCTGTAACAGAAATACCATACACTGGGTGCCTTATAAATGACAGAAATTTGTTGCTTACATTTCTTGAAGCTGGGAAGTCTAGGATCAAGGTGCCAGCAGATCTGGTGTCTGGCGAGGGCTTGTTCTCCGGTTCCTAGATGGCACCTTCTCACCGTGTCCTCCCATGGTGGAAGGGGCGAACAAGCTCCCTCAGGCCTCTTTTACAAGGCACTGATCCCCCTCTCCTCCTACCGTCCCATCTCTTAAACCATCACATTGGGGATTAGGTTTCAGCCTGGGAATTTTGAGGGGACACAAACATTCAGACCATAGCGCCTAGAGCTCCTGGATCTCAGCCACTGAGGTTACCAACCACTGAAAATGTAAAACTTCCTGTCCCTACCTATTGTCCCCCTAGAACAAGCAACCCACCCACTCCCCTGTGCCTTCCAGAGGTGACTGACCCCTTTTTTTGTGAGAAGCAGGACTGGGCTTGCCCACAGCCCACTGGAGCCAGCGGTGGCCCTGCGGTGAGCAGGACAGCAAGCAGGTCCCTCACTCACCCGTCTCCTGACGCTCACTCTCATTCTCAGTGGTTCTGCAGACACGGTGGGGCCTGCACTTACATGATCACAGCACACCCTGGAAGATGTTTGTCTGTGGGTGTGTCCTGGAAGTGGGATTGGGGGATCAGAAGGTCCAGGCATAGGCGAACACAGTTGTCCCTAAACACTTCTCCCCCCAAAACAACACTCTCTTATATTTTCTCTCAGTATGCAAAGGTGGCAAATTGTGTCCAATCTGCCTCTTTGTTCCCCCAAATCATTTATCTCTGCATTAAGTGGCTGTATCCCTTGTCCCATAGACCCTAGCACCCTAGCACTGAGCCATATGCCCCTACTTCTGACCTACTTGCCCTCTCAGGCCACCAGTTTTCTCAGGGGGAGTGTCCTCCTTTCCATCCACTGCATTTAAGCCCAGCCACGGGGCCTCATGAAGTCTGGGGTGAAAAATGAAGAGTCCTGCGTTGCCCACTCTGGCCACCAGGTGGCAGCCAAGGACAACATTAAGCCTGGGCTGCCTTGAATCCGGCAAAGGGAAGAGATTTTCCTTTTAGTGACCACAGACTGGCGGGTAATGCTTCCACTGCATCCTGAAAGCATTTATTGAGCACTTCCTGCATGCACTGCATGCCTCTGTTTCTCACTTCTGCAGATGCACAGTATATTTTCTCCAAGTGGGTTCCCAGGACTATTTTTTTAGGCTTCTAATAGTCATTTTTTTAACAGCTTTTCTATGGAATGATTTACATTGCAATTAAATTCCTCCGTTTTAGGTGTACGGTTTGATAACTTTGAGTAAGGGTATAAGACATACAACCACCATCATGTCAAGTTTGAGAATGGTTCTATCACCCCAGTAAGTTCCCTTGTCCTCCTTTGCAGTCAGTCCTTGTCCTGATCCTCATCTCAGGCAACCACCAAATTGCCTACTGCTGCTGTAGTTTGCCTTTTCAGGGATCTCCTATAAATCAGCAGTCCTCAACCTTTTTGGCACCAGGGATCAGTTTCATGGAAGACAATTCTTCCACAGACCCAGGGGTTTGAGGGGGGGGGGTGGGTAGGGGGTGATGCAAGCAATGGGGAGCAGCTGTATACATGAAGCTTTTTTTTTTTTGTGACAGAGTCTGGCTCTGTTGCCCGGGCTAGAGTGCCGTGGCGTCATCGTAGCTCCAGCAATCTCAAACTCCTGGGCTCAAGGGATCCTCCTGCCTCAGCCTCCTGAGGAGCTGGGACTACAGGCATGTGCCACCTTGTCTGGCTAATTTTTTCTATTTTTTCAGTTGTCCAGCTAATTTCTTTCTATTTTTAGTAGAGACAGGGGTCTCACTCTTGCTGAAGCTGGTCTCGAACTCCTGACATCAAGCGATCCCCCCTCCACTGCCTCGGCCTCCTAGAGTGCTAGGATTCAGGCATGAGCCAGCATGCCTGGCCATAGATGAAGCTTTGCTAGCTCATTCACTGCTCACCTGCTGTGCAGTACCCAGGTTCTTAAGTTTCATTGAAGACAGTCTTTCCCACAGGTTGGTGGGGGTGGAGCAGGGGGTCGAACTCTGCGGCCCGGTTTCTAACAGGCCACGGACTGGTACCAGTCTTCAGCCCGTGGGCGCTGCAGACCGCAGCTATAAATGGAATAATTTGTGACTGGCTTCTGTCACTTAGCATCATGTTTTTGAGATTTAACCTGTAGTTCTTCCTTTTTCTGGCTGAATAGTATTCTGTTTACAGATATACCCCATTTCATCCATGTGCCAGTTGATGCCCATTTGGGTGATTTCCATTTTGTGGCTATTTTTAATAACACTGCAGTGAACATTTTCAGACAAGTCTGTGTGGACATATGCTTTTATTTCTGTGGGGGTGGATGCCTGAGAGTGGAACTGCTAGGTCATATGGCCAGTATGTTTAGCTTTTAAAGAAAATGCCCAACTGTCTTCCAAAATGCCTACATTATTTTTGCATCCCCCCAACCACCTGTGAGGGTTGCACTTGCTCCGTGTCCTCACCAACACTTGGCCTTTGGGGGCTTAAATCTGATCGTTTTTAATGGTTGTGTAGTGGTATTTCTTTGCAGTTGGTTCCCTGGACGTTTAGCCTCTGCTTCCATCATTCTCTCTGTCTGTCTGTGTCTGTATATATATGTAGATAGACCATATATTTGCAGTTTTTCCTCACACACACACACACACACACACAAATAGACTCCCGAGACTCTTCCTTTCTCCATTTCACATTTGTACTATTGCCTCAGTCATCATCAATGTCAGGACCTCTGAACGATGGGGCAGCCAGGGGTGGAGTACGTGAGGACCCACAGCCCAGTGGCTGTGAACAGCAGCCCCGGGATTAGGAAGAAGCACTTTCTTGCCCAGTTAACACAAAGGAGCTTTGTACACACCCCTGAGCTGGGAGGAGCAGGGGACCTCTTAGTACCCACAGCCCAGGTATTAACTAGGTCATGAGCGCTAAGGGCAGAGAGAGCATCTGCCCAGGCAGGGGGCTGGGAGCATGGCTCAGACCCAAGTGAGTTGGGTGGGAGACACTGAATCGACAACAGGCCTTGCAGATGGGGCGGAGGTCAGGAACAACTTCTGGGAGAGACTGGAAGGAGAGGAAGTGCAGACAGCAAAGTTGGATGATTTTAGCTTTGCTAGAAACAGGAACAGAACAGTGAGTGCGACGATAGCTGGAGGGCAAAGTGGGTCAAGGGAGGTTTTGGATGGTGTTGGTTTTGCACGGGAGCTGTGTTTGCATCTGGTGGGGAGATGCAGCAGAAGCTGATGGCCCAGAAGAGACAGCCCTGGGAGGGAACGAGGTTCTGGTGCCCAGGGGTGGGTCCCAGAGCTGGGACTTGAGTGAGGCACACAAGAAGCGTAGGGTACACATTTAGGAGGTCCTCATTCTCAGGAACCACCCCTCCCCTCGTGTGACCCTGGGGGTGAGTGACGATAACTCTTACATTGTAGGTACCTTGGTGGCCTGTTTCACCTAGTCCTGGCCCATCCACAATGCTAGGAGGGAAGGCACACCTAGCTGCAGGGACTGGGGAATCTTGGCCTTGGGAGCAGATGGATGCTGTCTCCTGACAGCACCCATAGCTAAGGGGTCAGAGGACAAGATTGTGGGAGGGGAGGAGATCCAGGTGCCCTGACGTGAGGGTTGAAGGTGTGCAAGGAAGACCTGGAGGAAAGCATGCCAGAGCCAGTGCTCAAATCTTCCGGAAATGGTCTAAGGGGGCAAGCTGGGGTGGGGCTGGGGCTGTGATGGCAGCAAGGAGGGGAGGGCGGAGCAGAGAAAGACAAGGGTCTGGCGGCTGCCATGGAAGATTCAGGAAGCTGCCCTGGTTCTGTTTGTTTTATTTATTTATTTTTTTTACAGACAGGGACTCCCTCTCTTGCCCAGGCTGGAGTGTAGTTTCCCGATCACAGCTCACCGCCGCCTCAAGCTCTTGGGCTCAAGCGATCCTCCTGCCTCAGCCTCCCAAGTAGCTGGGGTGAAAGCCACTGTGCCAGGCTGGGGCTGGTTATTTTGACAGAAGGGAAGTTGCATCCTGAAGCAGTTCTCTCGAGCTCTGGGTGCCAGCTGAAACTGCAGAAGAAGATCTGGCATCTTGTGCAGGCAAGACCCACACCCTGTCCCTCATTGAGCCACTAAATATCTGCCCATCCTCCCATCCCCCACTCCTAGCCACCCATGTTCCTGACACTGAGGCCCAGAAGTGAGTCCTGCCCTCTCTTGGGTTGGGGGTCTCCAAGCCAGCAGGGACACAGAGGCCCTGACGGAACCCTGCCCAGAGGCAAGAACAGGCTTCCAAGGGCTCTGGTTCCAAGGCTTGTGTTTTCACACACACACACACACACACACACACACACACACACACACATGTAACCTTACTTCCACCCTGTGAGGTGGGTCCTGTTATCATCACTGTTTTGTAGATGACAAAACTAGGCCCAGAGCTGTGAAGTAATGTGTTTAAGGTCACACTCAAGGTCTTCCTGCTGCCCCCCACCACCACCCCACACTCCCAGACCTCAGTTTCCCCTGCCCAGGAGTCCTGTGGCCACTTGGGGTTAATGTCCTGCTTCTGCCCTGTCACTTGAGGACCTTTCAAGAGAGTGGCCTCCATGAGAAAGTCATCCCAACATACACCCTGTGCACTCACAGTCCTGGGGCTCCAGGCCTTGAGGTCTATGAGAGTGTCACCCAGCCACAGTGGCAAACAGGCTGTCAGCTTTCACCATGTTACAGACAGAATGAGCATATGCTCCAGGAATCCGATTCCTAGACCCAAGAGAAACCGAAGCGCAGGTCCACGCAGAAACGTGGACACATGTTACAGCAGCTCTCTTCGTAACAGTCCAAAGGTGCAAACGACCCACATGCTCAGAAATGAGTGGGTGGGTAAACAAATTACAGTTTGTCTGTACAGAGGAATATTATTCAGCCATAAAAATTACCAACACACGTTACAATTCCAATGAACCTCAAGAACATTATACTAAGTGAAAGAAACTGACACAAACTGTCACATACTGTATTCTTTTTACATGCTATACCTGGAACAGGTAAATCCATACAGACAGAAGGCAAATAAGTGGCCACCAGGTGGAATGGGGAGTCATTACTTTTTGGTGGTTACAGGGTGTTGTGCCGGGACGGTGAAAAAGTTTCGTGACCAGAGATGTGGTAGTCGCATAACAGTGGGAATACACGATCTGCCGGTGAGTTGTGCACTCTGTGATGGTTAATTGCACGATATGTGAATTTCACTTAATTTTTAAAAAATCAACTTCAGTTCCCTTAAGCCCACATCAGGGCTCAGGCAGGCTCCTGGCAGGCCAGACTGGACACCAGCCCCACCCCAGGTCTGTTGGCCCACTTGGAGTGGCACCCCAGGCTCAGTGGCCATCATTCCCTCAGGTCGGTGATGTGGGTGTCTTGTGATGAGGACACAAGGTCTCATGGAGGTCACCAAGTCAGAAAAGCTGGGATTTGAATACAGGAGGACGCTGTTATATCATCCCTGCCTCTGCAGGGCACTCACCCAGCCCTGCTGTTGGGTGTGAGTCACTGGGTCCTGTGGGGGCCTGGCCACCAGCCAGGTGGGGCGGTCCACAGAGGCTTTTGTAACACAGCCCTTCAGAGACTGGTAGTGCCAAAGGGCAAAGATCTTATTCTACAATCTGCAGCTTCTGCCTAGTCACTTGTAAGGAGCATGGGGACAGCGGTGAGAGTGGAATCCAGGATCCTGGTCTGGGTGGCCTGTCTGCTCCTGGCGTTCCCTGCCACAGCCACTGGTAATGCACAACTGCTGGGCCTGCAGGGGCAGGAGCTCCTGGGGCTTCGGGAGGCCTCTGCGTGCAGGGGGCAAGAGTGACATGGGGACAGGGAGGAGTGTGCAGCCTGCTCAGGAAAGGGGTCCAGTTTGGAAGAAACGGGTTGTGCATCGTTTCTGGGCAGGGGCCCCACCCTCGCTATCCTGTGTGATCCCCAGGGCAGCCCTGCCAGGGGACATGATTGTCGTTATGTTTTAAGTGACTGGAGATTTGTTTTAATCAGGTATGGTAAGGCAAGCAGATTGCAAATGACTGTGATCAAGGAAGATGTTTCCTCATAGTTCTCTAGGAACAAGAGGCGCCAGGCCCCGCAGGGCCACACTGGGAAGCACCGGGTGTGTCAGGAGGAAGAGGGAGGAGGGGAGAACGTGGGCAGGAGCGTTTACCGCTGTTTCCACGGGAAGGAAGAGGCAAAGTAGGCTAAGCAGGCTTAGGATTGGCAGTGGGCACTGGGGTACAGGGGCTGCTCCTAGTTGCCTGGTACCTGGCCCTGGGGTGACAAGGGCTGGTGGATAGTGGCCAGGAGTTTGAGAGCCCCACACAGGAAGTGGTTGGGGGTATGACTGTGGACTGGTTTGCATTTGAAAGACTTGCTCTTCAGAGAGTTGTGTCCGTCTCTAGAAATTGGCCAGCCCTGGGAGGGGCAATGCCCGTCTTAGTCTATTTGTGTTGTCATAGAGGAATACGTGAGCCTGGTTTATTTGGTTCAGGGTTCTGCAGGCTGCACAAGAAATGTGGCACCAGCATCTGCTTCCAGCGAGGGCCTCAGGCTGCTTCCGCTCATGGCAGAAGGGGAAGGGCAGCCGCATGGAGAGGGTGGAGGAGATGCCGGGCCTTTTCCGTTTTCCACCAAGTAGTTCTCCAGGGAATCAAGAGTGAGAACTCACTCCCAGGAGAAAGGCACCAAGCCACCTGCCCCCATGACCTGAACGCCTCCAACACTGGGGATCAGGTTTCAACATGAGACTTGGAGGGGCCAAACAAACCATATCTAAACCAGAGCACCCCCCACGGTCAGCAAGGCCCCAGGCAGCAAAGCTTCAGAATACAGGAAATAAGGATGTGGTTATTATACCTTATTTGGCAGAGGAGTAACCTGAAGTGCAAATGAGAAAGTGGCTGGCCCAAGGCTCAAGGCTCCAGGGCAGGTCTCGTCTGGCCTGGGGGGAGCATGGTGATGCCCACACAGGCCGGGAGGAGGAGGTCGGGGAACCATAGGGCCAGGCCTGCTGGGAAGGTTACCCACGCTGCTGTGTGCAAAGTCCTTGGAACAGAGCCTGGCAGAACAGCACTCAGAGGGCAAATGTGTCCTTCACTCTGAGTGTCCTTCTGTCACCCCATCCCCACACGGAGGCTGCAGACTCACCCACAGCCCCTCTGTCCTGCCCTCAGGGCCCGAACTTGCCCAGCCTGAAGTACACACCACCCTGGGCCGAGTGCGAGGCCGGCAGGTGGGCGTGAAGGGCACAGACAGCCTTGTGAGTGTCTTCCTGGGCATCCCATTCGCCCAGGCACCCCTGGGGCCTGACCGGTTTTCAGCTCCGCGCCCAGCACAGCCCTGGGAGGGTGTGCGGGATGCCAGCACCGAGCCCCCCATGTGAGTAGCGCCAGTGGAGGTGGGCAAGTGGGCAGGTGGGCAGGGGTCCACTGCCGGGGCGTGTGGGGCTGACCAGCTGGTCCTTGGGCCCGTCCTTGGTACAGGTGCCTGCAGGATGTGAACAGAATGGACAACAGCAGATTGATGCTCAATGGAAAGCATCGGCTCTTCCCTATTTCAGAGGACTGCCTGGTCCTCAACATCTACAGCCCAGCTGGGGCCATGGCAGGGGACAAGAGGCCGGTGGGCAGCCCGGAGGGCCCTGTCCTCCCATCCAGCTCCACCTGCCTGCCTGGCCCTTCCCCAACCCTGTTCCCAGACTATCCCAGAGGTCCCAAGAATGCCCTGGGCTGGTAGGTGGCCACGTGGGCTCCTAGGAGCTGGGGGTCACTGCCCCAGGGTCCTCTCTGCAGGTCATGGTATGGATCCACGGAGGCTCTCTGACTGTTGGTGCCGCCACCTCCTACGATGGATCAGCCCTGGCAGCCTATGGGGACGTGGTCGTGGTCACAGTCCAGTACCGCCTGGGGGTGTTCGGCTTCTTCAGGTGAGACGCAGGCTGGGCGAGAGCACCAACTGCACTGAGGGGCCGCTCACGTGAGGATTCGGGGACCTAGGCTGGGGGGCCAGAGGCTGCATGGAGATGGAGTGTCCCCCACACTGCTTTCTAGGGCAGAGAAGGTGCTCCCTGAGCCTCCACCCTGGGGGAGCGGCCCAGCAAAACCTAGAATCTTGCAGCGAATTTGGTCCCTTGGGCAGAGGGCACTGGTTCCTGGGCTGCGGCCAGGATCCCAGCCAGGGTTGAGGGCAAAGAGCTGTCTGCTCTCACAGCCACCTGGGAGCCAGCCCTGGCTGCCCCCACCCAGCCTGCCCACACCACGTGCTAGGTGGATGCCAAGCGTAGCTCACAGCCAGGCCTGACTTTGGGAGCAGAGGAGGGCTGAGCACCCTGGTGGCTGATTCGAAGCAAAGCTGCAAAGACCAAGGAACATCTGTCATGGAAGCCAGCCTGTGCTAACCACTGCCTCACCTGCCCCCCAGCACTGGGGACGAACATGCACCTGGCAACCAGGGCTTCCTAGATGTCGTGGCTGCTCTGCACTGGCTACAGGAGAACATCAGCCCCTTTGGGGGTGACCCCAACTGTGTCACCGTCTTTGGCCAATCTGTCGGTGGCGCCATCACCTCTGCCCTGGTAATAGTCACCATAAGGGGCTAGCAGTGATGGCCGGGAGGGCTCCTGTGGCCCCAGACCTCCCAACTCCTCTGCCCTCCTCTGACAGCCATCTGCTCTCTCCACCGCACCCAGGTCCTGGCCCCGATGGCTGCGGGGCTGTTCCACAGAGTCATCGCACAGAGCGGGGTCATCACCATCCCTGGTTTAATGGATCTTGACCCAGGGCACCTGGCTCGGGTCTGCATTTCCTTCACCTCTGACTCCATCCATGTGCACCTCCCCTCCCCAACCCTGTGCTGGCCCTGGGGTCTCAGAGCGGGAGTGTGCTGCTAGGGCACCCCCGCTGGCAGAGAGCCCCGGATGAAGGCAGCTGAGAGGAAATAGCCGCTGCATCCAGCGGGTGGGCAGTCAGGGATGGCTTCCTGAAGGAGACCACCCCTGTGCACACCACCCTTGGTCCCTTCTGTAGGGTGGGGTCTTCAGGAGCACCCCTCTCTGCTCCAGGCGGCATGGTGCTGGGGGCCCTCCAGTCCCAGCCACCCTGCTGCCTGAGACATCTCCACTGAGGCTCGAGCCCCCCTAGAGCCCCATTGTAACAAGGCCTTGTGGAGAGTTGCCCGTGGAAGCCACAGAATGGCAGCTGCATCTGCAAAGGCTGCAGGTGTGAGACACAGTGACAGGTCCTGGAAGCAGCAAGCTGTCAGGTAGGGACCTCAGCAGGCTGGGGCGGAGCAGGAAGCGAAGGCGCTGGAGAAGCAGGGGCATCGCCTGGGAATCTGGACCTTCTCCAGGTGCAGGAGGAAGCGGGGCAGTGACGGGCTGGGCTCCTTGGAGTGGAAGATGGGTTGGAGGGAGCCATCCTGGTGGTTGAGAGGCCATGGAGATGGCCAGGGCAGAGTCCAGGGAGAGAGGACAGTGACAGGCAGGGGCAGCTCTGGGAGTGGGGGACAGGTGGGCATAAGCGGGACTCGGGAGGCTCTGTCAGTGCCCCCTCTGGCCACGGAGCACTGCCAAGGTGGAGGAACGGTCTGGGCGTCTTTAGCACAGGGCTGGAGATGGTTCAGGAACCTCGGGCTCTTGTCTGGACAACAGCATCCCTGACCCATCCCCCAACTGTGGCCGGGAGAGATTTTCTGGATCACAAACTTTAGGTCCTTCCCCGTCTCTCCTGTGTCCCGTGAAAAACACAGCTCAGCCATTCCTCCTTAAACACGTATTCACGGGGCTCCTGCCGATGGCCACGGGCCTGCAGCCTCACCTCCCTCCCTCTCCCTGCCCCGCTCCAGCCTCCACACCGCACCCTTCCCTGCCAAACTGGGGCCCTGCCGGAAGCCCTCCCTCTCTACACTCCCCCCATTTCCTTATTTACTCAGCAAACTTTGGGAACATAGTTAATTAGATGAGGACGCTGATGTCAAAAGGGCAAAAAGCTGATCTAGCACCCCTTGTATTATCTTGGATGGAGCTGGGGCCCATTCTACTAAGTGGAGTATCACAAGAATGGAAAAACAAGCACCACATGTGCTCACCAGCAAATTGGTATTAACTGATCGACACTTACGTGCACATATGGTAGCAATATTCACTGGGTGTTGGGCAGGTGGGAGGGGGAGGAGGGGATGGGTATATTCACACCTAATGGGTGCGGTGCGCACTGTCTGGGGGATAGACATGCTCGTAGCTCTGACTGGGACGGGGGGCAAAGGCAATATATGTAACCTAAATATTTGTACCCCGTAATATTCTGAAATAATAATAAACAAAGGGCAAAGGGTACACAGCCCCTCATCCCCAGATAATGACATTATAGTGTAACAGAGGACACACACGGTTCCCGGGGACCACCCGCGCTGGTGGGCAGAGCAGGCTTTTCAGGGGTTGTGGCAAGTCTCTGGCCAGTCTCAAGCCTGATCTGCGACATCACGCCCAGCTGTGCTGCAGATGCACCCCCTCTCTGTGGAAGGCAGAGGGCTGCAAGGTGGGGGTCAGTGGCTGAGAGGGAGGCATGACACTTTTGTCTGTCCCCAGCACATCGCGGACTCCTTCGCCTGCAGCTCCCACTCCTCAGCTGAGATACTGCGGTGCCTTCGGGAGAAGGAAGGAGACAAACTGATCCATATGAAGTCGGTATGACCACCTCCTTGGCCACGGTGGCGGGCAATGGCGCAGAGGGGGTTCTGGGCCCGGGGCCCAACTAGGCCTGGGCACAGGAATGGGGGCCACTCCCAACCCCAAGGGCAGGCCCTGTCTTCTAGGGAAGATACCTGCTTGGAAGCGTCAGTTGCCCAACTCCTGATTCCCCCTGGCCAGGCCCCTCACCCTGGCAATCTCCATCCCCCTGCTTTCCCTCAAGGCTCAGCCACTCAGGCCCACAGCTAGGTGGCCCCTGGGTCCCATTCTTTGAGGCTGGGTCCTGACTTGAGAGCCTCTTGCCTTGCTTCCACCTGCAGAAAACACGTATTACTTCTTTCACCGTTGATGGCACCTTCCTTCCCAAAAGCCCCAAGGAGATCCTCAATGAGAAGCGAGTGCACTCTGTGCCTGTCCTTCTGGGTGTCAATAACCACGAGGTTAGCTTGCTTCTCCCCAAGGTGAGTGTCCTCCAGCACCTGTGCCCATCAAGGCCCTGCCCCAGCCAGTCTTCTTTCACCCCAACATCATCACCACAGCCCTGCGAGCTGAGCATTCCTGTGATTCCTATTTGGTAGGTGAGATAGCTGAGGCCCTGAAAGGTTGAAGGGACTTGCTAAGGTCACCCAGCTACATTTTCAGAAAGCCACGTTTCCATTTGGGGACCAAGCTTTTGTACCAAGTGGCTGATCCACAGCATATTCCTGCCTTGGTGTCTGGTTTATCAGGCTCTGTGAGACTGATTAATGTGACTCTGTCCCTGAGAGACTGACTACCTAAGACTCTCAGGTCTCAGACATCAAGCCACTGGTGACCTCATGGGCCAAGTACCCTCCATTCCCTTCCAGGTGCACAGAACGCTCATAAGCGTGTCAACATCATGCTTCCACCCTGAGCATCTTGTTATTTCATTCTCACTCTTCTACCCATCTTCATAGCAATTGCTTTGAATGGCTGCAAAATCTTCCACAAAGGGAGGGTCCCATCATAATGTTCCTTTGTTTTGGCATCTGGGCAGCTTCTCGTTTTTACCACTGAAGCCATTAGTGCAGTGAACATTTTCATGTCCACAGCTTTTGTCCTCTGACTTATTCCTTTGGAATCGATCCCCAGGAGGGGCATTTGCTTGCTACGTGAGAGGCTCATGCAATCTTGACACGCAAGGACACGCTTGTGGAAGTGGCCAGGCCAATGCCCAGACTCTGGCAGGCAGCCCTGGCCCTCACACTGTCAACTTACAGTTATATGTGTCGAAACGAGGGAGAACCAACCTGGCTGGCTCCTAAGACCTGGGGAAACCTGCCTGGAGTGAAATGCCGGGCCAGGACTTGGAGCCAAGGATGTTTCTCAGGAATTGGCTCGGAGGGCTGCTCACCTGTCACTGGTGCAGGCGTTCCCGCCCGCGTGAGCGCAGGTGTAAATCTGGCAGCTAACTATGCATTCGCTAATGGTGGTGCACTCCTGTAATCCCAGGGAGGCTGAGGTGGGAGGATCCCTTGAGCCCAGGAGTTTACCACTGCACTCCAGCCTAGGTGATAGAATGAGACCCTGTCTCTAAAAAACAAAACTGCACAAAACAAAAAAGTTCTTGGTGAAAGTTTTAGCCATGGCTGCAAAATAATTCCTACCCCTCCTTCTGGAAACCTCTCCACTTCTTACATATTGCTGTCGACACAGCACTTTCTGACATTGCTACGCCAATTTAAATTGCCACCAGCAGCTTGAGTCTACAGTTTTACTGCAACCTTATCAGCATTTGCTGACCGTAATTTTTAAAAATATCAGCTTTATCGAGACATAATTTACATACCACAAAAATCACCCTTGTAAAGCGTACAACTCAGAGATTCTTAGTTTATGTACAAAGTTGTGCAACCATCACCGCTATCTTATTGCAGAACATTTGCATCACCCTGAAAAGGAGGCTCATACCCAGTCTCCCTCCCTCAGACCCTGGCAACCACTAATCTATTTTCCATCAACTTTATGGATTTTCCTATTCTGCACAATTCATAGAAACGGACCATACGCATGTGACTTTTTGTGTCTGACTTTTTTCACCGAACATGGTGTTTTCAGGGTTCATCCGTATTGTAGCAAGTATCAGTACTTCATGCCTCTTGGTGGCTGAATATACTATCTAGTTTTGCTTATCCATTCAATAGCTCATAGACATTTGGGCTGTTTCCACCTTTTTTGCTATTAATGGATGATCCTGGATGAATATTCATGTGCAAGTTGTTTTGAAAACACGTGTTTTCATTTCTGTTGGTTGCAGACGTGAAAGGGGAATTGCAGGGTCACGTGCTAATGCTATGTTTAATTCGAGGAGCTGCCGGACGGCTTTCCAAATGGGCCGCACTGTTTTGCGTTCCTACCAGTGGTGCGTGAGGTTCCAATTTCTCCACATCCTGCCCAGTCCTCCTTATTCTTTCTTGTTTTGATGCCAGCCATGTAAGTGGTTGGGAAGTGGTATCTTGTTTTGATTTGCGTTTCTTTAATGGCTAAAGATGTTGAGCATCTTTTCATGTGCTTACTGGCCGTATTTTATCTTCTTTTTTTTTTTTTTTTTTTAAACAGAGTCTCACTCTTTTGCCTGGGCTAGAGTGCCGTGGTGTCAGCCTAGCTCACGGCAACCTGAAACTCCTGGGCTCAAGCAATCCTTCTGCCTCAGCCTCCCGAGTAGCTGGGACTACAGGCATGTGCCACTATGCCCGGCTAATTTTTTTTTCTATATATTTTTGTTGTCCAATTAATTTCTTTCTATTTTTAGTAGAGACAGGGTCTCATTCTTGCTCAGGCTGGTTTCGAACTCCTGAGCTCAAACAATTCACCCACCTCGGCCTCCCAGAGTGCTAGGATTACAGGCGTGAGCCACCGCGCCCAGCCTCCGTATTTTATCTTCTTTGGAGAAATGTCTATTCAAATCCTTGGTCATTTTTATATTTGATTATTTGTCTTTTTCTTGTTGAGTTGTAACGGTTCTTTATTTATTCTGGATACCAGTCCCTTATCAGGTATCTGATTTGCAAATATTTGTTCCATTCTGTGGTTGGCTTTTCATTTTTTTTTTTTAGAAGAGACTGGGTCTTACTTTGCTACTCAGGTATTGCCCAGGCTAGATTCAATTTGAAGGTTATCTTGATTTGAGTTTGTGGACTTGTGAGTTTGGCCACGCTTGCTCTGTAATGAGTTTATGGGCACAGGGCTGTGAACACTCTCCTGCCCAGGGCAGTGGTCCAGCTGCATTGAGAGGGCCTCGGTGTCCCCACAGGCCTTTGGTTTCCCGGATAGGATGGAGCAGATGAGCCTGGAGGACATGATGGACACCTTGAGGCACTTCTTGATCGGTCTGGTAAGACAAGAGACAGGAGGGAGGCTGGGAGTGAACATCCCACCCAACACAGACTGTACTCTCACTCCTGACACCCACAGCTGCCCACCTTCCACCAGGCCCCTTGGTCCAACTGGTGAACTATAGTTCCACCCAGGACTCCGTTGGACATGAGTCAATGTAGTTCTCAAAGGAAAATTATCATCATCGTCACCATCATTGTCACAGCACAGAGTGCCTGTTAATGAGCACATACTCTGTGCCCGGGACTGTGCTGTGCTGAGCAGTGGGAGAGGCATTCATCTCCTTCCATCCTCGTTGCAACTCTGTGAAGTAGGAAATTTCATGATCCCTGTGTTACAGATTAGGAAACTGAGACTCAAAGTCTCACAGCAGGTAAGGGGCAGAGGCAGAGTTTGAGCCAGCTCTGTCTGATCCCAGAACCTCAGCCGTCAAATGTGAAGCCAGATGGACCTGGTGTCAAATCCCAGCCCTGCCCACTTGCCCAGGTATCCTCACCCCTCTGAGCCCATTTCTTCACCAAGAAATGGGGGCGATGCTTCCTATTCACCCAAGCTGTTGTGAGAAGGGGACTGGATGGTGCATTTGAAGAGTCTACCTGGGAGCTGGTACCCAGTAGGTGCTCAATGTTTGTGCCTTTCCCTGCTTTGGAAGCCCCAGAGGCCTCCGCATTCACACGACCTCATCACTGCTCTCTGCAGCTGTGGGGGAGCCCCCACCATTTGTTCTCTCACTTATTTCCCAGTTCACTTCCACTGAACACCTGCTTCCAGGCCAGACCCTTTGCTGGGGACATCACATCTGCTGCCAGGCAAGGACTGACTTTCAGAGAGATGCAGCCAACTATCTGAGGTCATGCAGCCAGGCAGTGGTCCTAGAGCTGGGATTTGACTCCAAACCTGAGCTTATCCCACTCAGACACCATCTAGAACTCCCAAGAAGACAGAGAGGCAGCTGGCTGCCTGAGACATGAGCCTGGGACATGAGAGAAGCCATGCTGGAGGGTGTGCAGCTTCTTGGGAGGGTCTGCCACCGCTGTGGGGCCTGAGTATGCCTGAGCCTGTCCTCCTGCCCCAGGATATACCCCTTGAGATGATGGCCACCGTCGCAGATGAATACCTAGACAGCAACTCAGACACACAAGCCCGACTCCATGCCTTCCTCGAGTTGATGAGCGACGCAATCTTTACCTTCCCTGTCTTAAATGTCTCAAGAAGCCTCCGAGGTAAGCCTATCCCTGGACACTTTCCCACTTCGGCCCAGGAGCTGGGTCATCACAGGTGACATGGCTGTGATAGGATCAGTTTCCCCCAATTCCTTGTACCCCACACCCCGCTGCCTCCCTCAACCCTGCCTTCTCTGGGATGCAACGTCACAGCAACGAGAAGTGTCTCTGGCGGGGCAACTTGCACGGGAGAAAAGTGAGTCTCAGAGAGGTACAGTGACTTGCCAAAGGTCACCCAGCAGAGCCCATCACCAATTCTCAGGAATTCATTCAATGAATCAGTGACTTCCTCCTCTTTTAGCGCTCCCCCTGGGATAAGTATTGCTTCCTCCATGCCTGGTGGCTAATTCCTGACACAGCCCTTTAATAGCTCCAATTTCTAAACTTTGTGACCTCGGGCAAGATACCTAACCTCCTGTGCCTCGGTTTCCTCATTTGTGAAATGGAGATAATAACAGAATCTAATCCATGAGGTTATGAGAATGAGATAAATGATGACACAAGGCACACAGAATGGCGCTCGACACCTGGCAAGTGCTCAGAAAATACCTGCTGCTAATCATTTTTTCACCATCATCATCACTGGTATTGGTGTCATGAGCTTGTGCTGCCAAAGGCAGGACCTAATTGGGCTGTGGGTGCCTAACTCTGATCCTGCCCTCTCTCTGCAGATTCGGGGAACCCCATCTTTTTCTATGAGTTCCAGCATCGACCTAGTTCTTTTGCGAAGATCAGACCAGACTGGGTGAAGGCCGACCATGGGGCTGAGATTGCTTTTGTATTTGGGGGGCCCTTCCTCATGGACGAGAGTTCCCTCCTGGGTGAGGACAGACAGATAGACAGACAGACATGCAATCCCTTGGCTGCCAGACTCCAAGGGGCCAGGGAAGGGCTTGCAAGAGCAGAAGTCTGGCCAGCACCAAGGATCCTGGGTCCCCTCCAGGCCCCACATGATCAACCCTGATTCTGGTCTGTTCCTTTCACCAGCCTTTCCAGAGGCCACAGAGGATGAGAAGCAGCTGAGCCTCACCATGATGGCCCAGTGGACCCACTTTGCCCGGACAGGGTGAGTGAGCAAGCAGGCTTACCTGGCTTTGGGCCTGGGACACTCAGATCCGCCCCTTGGGGATAGCACAGGAGGCCTTGGTCCTCACTCATTCTTCCCACCCAGGGACCCCAATGGCAAGGGGCTGCCTCCTTGGCCCCAGTTCGACCAGTCGGAACAATACCTGGAGATCAACCGGGTGCCACGGGCCAGGCAGAAGCTAAGGGAGGCCCGAATGAGGTTCTGGACAGAGACACTCCCCAGCAAGATCCAGCAGTGGTATGAGAAGCAGAAGAGGGGGAAGGCCCCGGAGGAGCTCTGAGGCAGGGCCTGGGCCTTCTTGCTGGGGCCAACTCAAAGGGTGGCAAAGTCCCAGCAGGGGAACCTCCCTTCCCCACCCCTAGCCCTCACTGAGAGAGACTTTGACCTAAATGAGGCCCACGTGGGCTTGTATCCTTGAAAGCATCAACCACTGCATGACTGGCATTTTGCTGTTGTGAAATATCACCGGGCTGCTTTCTGTCTCTGGGCCATTGTACGAGCTCTTCCTTCTCCCTGAAGTACGTTTCCGACTTCTTGGCAAGTTCCAGTTCATTCTTCGTGCTCCCCAGAGGACTCCCTCCCCGAAGAAGCCGTCCCTGCCTTCTCTGGTCTGTGTGGCCCTGAGTCTGTGCCAATTAGAGCACAGTCCACCCTAGGCCAGCACTGGATCTGTGTCTCTCTCACCCTCAGAGGAGCTCTCTGAAAGTGTGGACCAGCCTGGCCCCACTCTGTCACCCACACCAGAATCAGGCAGGCCCTGGAGTCAGGTGCTGTTTGGTGAGTGCATGAAACACAGAGTATGTGAGTGGTGGTGCTGGACTTGAACCTAGAGCTTTCAGGCGCCAATGCCAAGCTCAGTCTCCCACAGACATAGTCTGTCCTGGTCAGAAGGGTAGATTCCAAAGGCAGGGACCTGGAGTGGGAGAAGTTCTGGGGCACCCGGGGATCCAGCCAAGAACAGATCTTAGCCCCTGACTAGGGCCTCAGACTAGAGCTGGGAGAGGTTCCCTGCTGTCTGCTGCCTAGTCCTGGCCCCTGTGCAAGACAGCAGAATCCAGCAGGGCCACATTCACTGGACATGGCCTTCACCATTTAGAGCCCTGACCCTTAGGACCTGAGACATGAGCTCCCAGCCCTGGCGTCAGGCTCCTCCCTCCCTTCCTAGCTGAGGGAGGCGACTTCTTGGGAAACTCAGCACAATCCCAGAACACCCACCAGGACACAGGAGTACAGGTTGGGATAGAGTGTCTGGACTAGTGCATCACTCAGGCTATCGTCACACAGGAAAGAAGAGACCTCCCCACTCGGGCTGAAGAGGTGGAAAGCAGCCAGAGGTCTGCAGAGTAAGCATTTGTTTTTTTGAGGATCAAGGCCCTGTTCCCTTCAAACACCTGCATTTTGATGCATATCCCAGGGTCTTTGCTGCCCCCACTATCCCATCCTAGCAGCTCCGGTCCTACACATCCCCTTCCTCAGTCAGACTGACTTTCCGACTGCCAATGGGTACATGAAGACCATTTGCAACTGGCACCAGTTCCGTCCTGGGAAGTCCATTTTGGGCAGGAAGGAGAATCACAAAGCCAGAGGGACTCTGAGTCATGTCATCCCCCTGCTAGAAAGCTCAGTGACCCCATCAGCTTTAGGACAAGTTCAAGTTCTTCACATGCCATCGAAGGCCTCCTGTTCTCATCCCCTTCCCTGCACTAGGGAAGTCTGTCCCCATACATGGGTCGAGAACCTGACGAGAAAACAGGCCCTAATAATACACTGTGTGCCTGGGGACAGAACGGGCTGTTAGGACACAGAGACTAGACCAGCCCAGACTTGGGGGACAGGGAAGGAGGGACATCTAAGCTGAGGCCTGAGGGACAAGCAGAGGTTACTAAGATGTGCAGGCCAGAGCTGAAGGGAGCAAGCTCCAGACTCAGACAGGAGTAGCCCTGCAGGTCAGGGACGCGTGGGCCCTGGGCGCCTCCTCCTGCAAGCAGTGAGGGTGTGGACACCAGGGAGTGCCGCAGGATCAGGTGTGCACACCTGGACCCTCTGCAGGGATAAGGTCCTAGCAGATCCTCCCAGCAGATGTGGAGAAGACGGTACACACCCAACCCCAGACTTAGTTACTCACACCCCCGCCGTCTCACAGGGCTCCTAGCCAGTTCCACCTTTACTGGATGTGTGTCTCTGAGCAAGTTATTTATTCTTTGTTCCTCGGTTTTCCCATCTGTAAGAGGAGAGTAAGGATTGGGACTCCCTTCCCAGGTCTGCTGTGAGCACTGAAAGATCACTGACCGCAAAGTGCCTAGAATAGTGTCTGACACGCAGCAAATGCTCCACAAGTGCTCCCGGGGGTAGGTATGGGCGCAGACTCCAGCTGCACTGTCTGAAAACAACATATGACTCTCCTGGCTACAATGCACAAATGGAAGAGTTGGGAGATGTTAGGGAATATCACTGTGGCTTTGACACGGGCCTCTTCCACCTTAAAATAATTTCTGGGCCTAAGGCTGCCTAGAAGGATTGGTGGACAGAGCCCTGGGAGGCTCTGAATGGCAGGCTAAGTGCCTGGAGGAGTCTGTGGCCCTCCCTGGGGACCTCAGGGAAGAGCGGACCCCAGGTCCTCCCCCACTCTGCCTCAGCCCCTCCTCTTCAGTTTTAGACCTGCCCCGCACCCCCCATTCCGAGCACCCTGACCGGGGCCCCAGGACACAAGGCGTGGCTGGCAGTGGGGGAGGGGTGGGGGCCAGGCCTCACCACTGACGCCTGCTGAGCTTGCCTCTGAACCCAAGCCCACTCACACCCATCCTCTCCCGCAGGCCTATGCGCAGTCCTCTGGGGTCCCAAGTGGACCCCACTTTGCAGATAAGGAAACTGAGAGTCAGAGGGGAAGTGCCTTGCCTGAGGCCACACAGGGTGGGGACGAAGCCAGGACTCACACCCAAGTTTATTGGCCTCCAAACTGCAAGTTCATCCACACCCAGAATGTGTCCTCCTGCCTGGAGGGGACTTTCCAGATGCTGGAGTTGGGGCCCAGGGGGCTGACTCAGGTCGGGGGACAAGGATTCTAAGTCACAAGGGAGGCCCAGAGGGAGGGCTTGCAAGGCGATCGCTTCAAACTGAGGCTGCACAGCCCACGGGGAGATGACAGGGCCGGCCCCGCTCTCACTCGGATGCCTGTGTGAGCCCTTCTGTCCTTCAGGCCTGGACTGTGGGCCTGGGATTGGTCACTGTGCACGTTTCCCCTAGCCGCAGGGCCTCAGCTCCCACTGGTCAGGCCTGCAGATGTGGGGGAGCCTGCAGATGTGGGGGAGCTGCAGAGTGAAGGGCTGTGTCGAGCCTCCCTATCCAAGGAGGGTCAGCACCCAGGCCCTGTGACAGCCCAGCACCATCTGAGGCCCCAGGGAAGAGATTTGTGCCAGGCCAAGCTCCCGCTGGATGGGGTAAGCAGTGTGGGGAGGCTGTGGGGCCCCCAGGCGTCCTAGGAGACCCTCAGCCCTCAGAGCAAACCCAGAGCCACCACAGGGACTCAGAACAGCAGGGTTGACAGGATGGGCAGCCAGAGTCCCAGCACCCCTCCTGGTCCCACCTCCTGAGAGGATATCTGTGATGACACAGAGCCGGGACGAGTCCCAGGAGCGAGTGCCCAGCCTTTGCCAGGACCATCCCGTGGCCACCCCAAGGACTGGAAGCAATCTGACTCCCAGTGTGACTGGGGAAAGTCCTGGGCGGGCTCTCTCTGTTCCTCTGTGACCCCCACACCGTAACACGGCCAAGCTCCTGCCCAGCCTCCCGGACCCTCACCCACGCCTCCATCTCTAGGACCTACATTAGTACAGGGCTTCATCAGGCCCCGTGTGGCTCGCTGGAGGCACACTGGGTCTTGGCATGAGCCAGGGAGCAGTGCTGAGAAGTGCCAGGCCAGAGTTCTGGGCAGCAGAGGAAAGCCTAAAGTCACCCGGACCTCTGAAGCCAGGATTGGGGCTGCCGCATGTTGGGGTTCCCTGAAAACACAGGCAGGAGGTAGAAATTCCTCAATTATTCTCCCAGTTGGACCAGATGCCCAACGAGGGCAGGCTGGGTCTGAGTTTCTCACTCTGGACCCCTAACCCCCGGCCACCTCCAGGCTGTGGGGTGAGCCCACCTGTGGGCAGCCAGGGGAGTTGCTGGGAGCCAGGCTCTGGGCTGGGTCTCTCCAGGAGCTCAGACATACCCTCCCTCCCAGGGAGGACTTAGGGTCCCTGTCTACATAATGAGACTGGACAGGTTGGTCTCATGCAGGAGGCTGCAGGGGTCTGGCTCTGTCCTCTAGGGGTGTTCATCTACAACGGCACTCTGGAAGGGCATGAGCTGGGCTTTGCAGTGTAACTGGGAGTTCACCTGTTTGACAATGCAGGGAAGGACATTCCACATAGAGGGAACAGCAGGAGCAAAGGCCCTGCCCTTTCTTCTCCTTTTCCTTTCCCTACTGGCAATAAGCCACCTTTCATCTGTGGCAATGCAGCTTACATTGCCTTGGCTGAGTTGTTTCTGCAATCTAAGTCTCAGTTTCCCTATCTGTACAATAAGAATGATGACAGTGATGATGATGATGATGATGACAGTAAAGAGGTCTGGAAAGAGTCTTGGCTGGGCCAGATTTGAGATTCTGATAGGCAGCATTAGGTGACTCCTGTCCTGGGTCACCTGGCATCCTCTTTTTGGGGAGTGACCAGGGTTTGATCTGGTCCATTATTGGACTTTAGACATATATAGATATGTTTGACAAGGGACACCCACATGAGGACGAGTGGGTGTCCTCAGAGGTTGGCTCACAGGGTGAGGTCCAGGTCCTGGAGATAGGAGGGGCCTGGTGCACAGAGCTGGCTCAGAGCTGGGCCTAGTCTGGAAAGCAGAGATGGAAGTTCTGGGCACAGCCGGGGCTGCTCTGCCCTCCCAGCCCACAGGAGGCAGGAAAGGGCACCTGCTCAGGTGGAAGAATCCTCTGACTGACCTGGGACCCTGGGCCAAGTGACTCCACTGTGGAGGACCCCTACCTGAGTACAGTAGTATCAAAATGGGGGAAGTCACCCTTCTCCGTTCCAAAGATACCAAAGTCAGCAGCTGCAGACCTGGGAGAGTGTGTGTCTGTCAGGGTGGCGCCATCAAGGAAACTTCTGGGCTTTCATGTCAACAGATTCACGGATGACCCACCCTGAGGAGGTCTAGAGGTCAGTTCCTGGGTTGGGTGGGAGGGAGTGTAGCCAAGACCAAGCCATGGTGTTAGGCACAGATAGGATGCCCTCTGGGAGGGACTCAGCCAGGGTGCTTGGCCACCTCTGTGTCCACATGTTGGTGTCATGTGGATTCAGTGACAACTCCCAGAGCTCCTTCACACCCTGAGGCTCCCAAACGTACTTCCTGGTGACTTGCAGGTGACTCTCAGTTCCCAGAGACACCACCTGAGGAGTGCGCACGTGGCAGACCTCTCAGCCCCTTCTTCTGCAGCCAGCGTTGCTTTGTTACACGGGGAAGGA